AGTTGAACCTCGACTTGTGTCATTTCGATATTGAGCAAGCTTTTGTGCGTTCGGAGTTGGAAGAAGACGTATACATGCGATTGCCGCAGGGATGTGGAGCTCTATCTGGAATGATTGTAAAACTAGGCAAGAGTCTGTATGGCTTGAGACAGGCATCTAGGCAGAGGCATGCAATGCTGAAGAGGTGTTTGGTTGCGTTGGGATTCGAGCAGTGCATGGCCGATGCTTGTGTGTTTCGATTGATTGAAGGGGGGGGTGTGTTTTTGATTTTGGTAGTACATGTGGATGATATTTTTGCTGTGGGAGAGAGGGAGAGATGTGACAAGTTTGGCGCCGACCTTAACAAGTCCGTGCCGGTGAAGAACCTGGGAGAGTTGAGATGGTATTCTGGGTGCTTTTACGGGAGAAGCAAGGAGACTGGTAGGCTGACGATTTCTCAGCAGACTTCCACGGATGAGCTAGCAGCAGAGTATGGAGTAGCAGGGGGGGAGAGCGTTCCCATGTCTCTGGGGGTCAAGCTTTCTGACTTTGATGCGGATGAAGAGGCGACAGATTTTCCGTTTCGAGAGCTAGTAGGATCTTTGATGTGGCTGTCGACTCAGACTAGGCCAGACATTGCGAATGCAGTAAGGGAAGTAGCTAGATATTGCGCGTCTCCGAAGCGGGTGCACTGGGATGCAACGATGGGTATATTAGGGTATGCGAAGAGGACGAGTTACATGGGTCTTTCATTTCAGAGAGGTACGGTAGAAGGATTCAGCTTGCAGGGGTACGCTGATGCGGACTTTGCGAGCAAGGCAGCAGACCGTAGGTCGGTATCAGGTGGGATAGTAACATGCGGAGGAGGCGTTGTGTCTTGGTTTTCCAGAACGCAGAAATGCGTTACGCTTTCGACAACAGAAGCAGAGTATGTCGCGCTTGGCGATGTAGTGAAGGAGATTTTGTTTTTGAGGCAGGTTTGGCGATTTATGTTGCCGAAGGTCAGCATGCCGTGTATCCCAATCTTTGAGGACAACCAGGGGGCGATTCAACTAGCG